CATGTCAGTGTCCAACCCTGGCTACTTCCAAATGCAAAATTCACAGGTAGTACGAGAATTCTGACTCAGACTCATTTATTTGTGCCTTAAAAAGCTAAAATAGTATTTTCGCCAGCTCTTTTCTTATATGCAATTGCTGCGGCCAGTAGAGGATGTTTAGGCTCTGAAGAGAAATATGAAACAGAAAAAAAACTTACAAACAGTCCTTCCACTCTCCCCAAAATAACTGAAATCCATTTCAAATAAATCAGAGGTTCCTCAAAAATGTGGGTCAGAGAAAACACATTCAAAAAAGTTTCAGTTAACAACAGCCTTTTCCCTTCCAACCAAGTTCCAGGCTTTCGTCTTAGGCAATCTCAGACTCTTCACTCTATTAATAGCTTAATGCATAATAAATAATGCATTATTCAAAAGGAGCTTGTACTTCCACGTTTGGTACAATACTTGCATGCTACTGGCACTGCCTTCCACTTGATTGTAAGTGACATGCCCAAAGTCTTTGCAAGGAAAAATAAATCTGCCCATTCAAAACAGATACTGTCTCTGCCCAGCTGAATGAATCTTTTTCTTGCCATCAAAGAAAGAAGAAACATTAAGTTCAAAATGTGCTTCAAAGGGGAAGAGAGCACACAAAAGGGTGCGGTGTCCCATTCAATTCGGGTCACACCACTTCCAAAGAGATGTAGCAGAGTTATAAAAGATTCAAAGATGGGCAATAAAAATGATTAAAGTTACACAAAGTCTTCCGTATCAGTAGAGACTGAAGACATTGGGACTACTTAGATGAGAGAAGCAAAAGCAAAGGTAGAGATGACACGAAAATAAAGACAGCATGATAAAAGGTACAGCAAAGATGAATCAGGGTCTACAATTCAGTCTCTTTCATAATGTAAGATCAAGGACACGTTCAATGCTGCCAGAAGTTTGCAAACTTGACACAACACATTGTCCATCTCTGGAACAAGGAGTATGTATTTTTACGTGGTATCATTGCCACGAGTTCAGGCAGGATAAAAAACCAGGCGGGTTATGCACACAGAGGTTTCAATGGCTTTTCTTTTCTTCTGATGTTATGATCCGACTAAACGAAAACCTTTCCTTAACCTTTTGTAAGAGAAATGACTGGACTCTGATTTTGAAGGTGTCAAAAATACTCCACTTGAGGTTTAGCGTGTGGCCAACCCACTTCACTTTGTGCACAAGCACAGCTCACAATACAACAGGCACTGAAACAAAACATTCTGACGTTTCTGGTGTCAGTAACTCCATGGTAAAATACCCATACCTCACATCGGGATTCTCAATACTGCCTTCGTGTAGGCATTATTTGAGAGCGTTTTCTACACTGAAAGGAAAAAAAAAAAAAAAAAACAACTTACTGGAATTTTAGAAGTGAGATTTCCAGTTTGAGCTAGCACCTTTCTAGAAATACTGTAAATATCAATACCTCCGAAGTGTCTTTAGTATGAAAATAACTTGCATTGCCAAGAACGTAGACTGAAGTAGCATCAAACATGAATCAACTGCAAACACAAACAAGAAAACAATGAGGTGCGCGCTACCAGCACCTGCTCTGCCAATGGATCTCTGTTACAAAGCTAACAAGGCTTCCAGAAGGCACTGGGCATTCGTTCATTTCTTGAATTAATTTAATACATCCCAAGTTGTGAGCCAGTTTTAAACAACTTTGAGAAGTTGTTTTTCCTATCCTTCACTCCTCAGCTCACTGGGAAACCCCAAAGTTCAATGCGATTGCTGCCAGGCCAAGAGCCTCATGCCAGCAGTGGCAGAGGACGAGTGCTGTTCCCGGCCTGCAGCTACTTGCAGGGGCACTCACTGAACTCCTCTCGGGTCTGGAAGCCTCTCGTTCTGCTCCTGAGGCTGCAGACACCACGTCCTGGTGAAGGAGTATCAGAAACCAGAGGCTCACAAAGACAGGAACATCCTGCAGTAGCCCTGAGCCACAGAACCTTTGAACAGGAGCAGATCGATACCGCACGGCAGCAGAGAGGAAGGGAAAGGCTACCCACAGGAAAGGAGAGCCGGAATGGCACCGATATATCGCTTTACATCTGTGTTACTATTTTCTCGTTGCTATGGGAATACAAGAGAAAGCAGTTTCAATTTTGTATTCAAAGGCCCATGTAAAGTCTAGGTGTGAAAAGTATCATTTGTTTGCAGCCTATAATTTTCTCTTCCAAGTAGTGTTAAATAGTTTTGTTTGGGGGAAGGGTATTAATGATATTCTCTTCTCCATTCACGTGTTAAAATTAGCTAACCTACCTGCTCTGGAGAACATCCAAGAGAAACTAAAGCAATGACAAGTGCTAACTTATCAGGGTTAAACAGATCTTTTTTCTATATAATTAAAGTTAACGTACTAACCGGAATACTCTCCGTGGAGCTGATGCTATCTTGCTTTTCATGATGAGCCCATCTCCAAAATTAATTCCATCATATTTAACTTGAGTGTCAAGAACCAGGGCTTCAAAGCACTTGAGAAGAAATAGCTTTCAAAATGTTAGTGAAGGACCATGGGGCCAGTCCAGAAGTCCTTTCTCATCTATATTAAACCACACTGCCTGTATTCTCTGAGACAGGACCAGTGAAGGAAGTCAACAGAGGTAAATACTGGATAATTTTATGTTGTTTTTTTTTAGTTATAGCAACACAGAACAGAAGGAGAAAACATGCACAATACTCTGGAGTGTGTCTGCATACTCATGAGAGGACTCATCATTTCACCCTGAAAGAAAACGATTCCTCACATTTAGTCACACAATCATCGGGAGGAACAAGCAGCAGCTGAAGAACGGACAATTTTTTAGCTTCCAGAACAATTTGATTGCACTCAGCACCATGAAAGTAGCTATCAAAACTTTAATTTTGTAGTTCAATAAATTACTGGATGTTCTGCTTGAAGACTTAAATCACACAGGAGTGAGCATGCATACACCTAGCTCATGCTTGCATTGTTACTCATTTATTTTCAAAATTTAAGTTCCTGAATATTCTCAGAGCTAAACCCTGTAAGGTTCAGTAATGCAGCCAAGCCGTGTTTGGAGACGTGCTTTCTACACAGTTTATGTGCAGTGAGACAATGGACAAAGTAATACACAAAATGAAGAACATGCTAACTTCCAGTCTTTAGATTGACAATACTTGAAACCTCGCCTAAGCGTCAAGTGGAGATCGTTCCTTGGCATCAGGGAAGAGCCATACAGGAAGGTTCAAACCCCTGGGTTCCCCATTGCTACTAATTAGTTAAGCATTCCAATTATTTCTCCCAAACTGCAAGGGCCATTACAGTGACTGGTTCACCTGACACAGCTCAACCATATTCAACAAGAATTAGGGCTCGGCTTGATATGGGAGCAGACGGGGACTGACTTAGCATTCTGCCACTTCTATCAATCCTACTCCCTTCTCACGGAGAAAGGGTCCACCCAACCCCAAAAAATTCTGGATCAGCCCCCTCAGTGCCTTAATCAACACTCTGTGTTTACTCATTTCTCAACATAACACAGTAAGGAGGTGTATAAATATACAGAAGGGATGCTAAAGGGAAATGCTGTTTCCCCAAGAAGCCAGAGGAAGGAGGACTCTTAAAGGGCCGCTTCCAAAAACTATTCCAGTTCAGTTCCAGATTCTCTTAGTAAAGACCAGAACAACCGTTTGGGGTAAACAAAACTGCGAAGGGAAAATATGTCCTGGATTTAGCTGAAGGCTGATGCTACTTGGAGAAGAAGGAGCTGGAGGTCTTTGATGCAGCACCAAAACCTCAGCAGAAGTTAGAAACGGCTGGTTAAAATTCCAGTGCTGTAAGCACAGCGTGTGAAACGCAGACCTACATAATTCATAAAGGGAAAGCTACATTAAATAGCATTAAAGATCCTGCTTATGCAAAAGCAGAGGCGTGCTGCATGGGTGCCAGCAGAGCCGGTGTCTGTACCAAGCCCTGCCTGCCCCTCGGCAGCGCAGGTAACGTGCTCCCAGCACGCATCACTCACCGCGCATCGCCGCAAGCATCGCCGCTTCAGCAGCACGAGGAGATGAGCTCTCACAGCAATAAGAGGGAGACATCGGTCAGAGGACACTGTGCTATCAACAATTAAGTGTTGGGGGGAGCCTGGAGATGGAACGGGTGGGGAGAAATTCGTTCTTCAGGTTTAGGAGCAGATTCCTCTCCGCTGAGCTCCTGCAGGCTGGATATGGTGAGGAGCACGGGGGTCAGCTCAGCGCTGCAGCAGCTGGTGCTGCACGTGCTTCCCAACTTGGCACGTTCTCTGCTGCCAGATAATCGTTATTGCCAGACATTTAACTTGAGATTAACAGGGAAAAAAAAACCTGGGTGCTAAATCTGGGCCAATACTCCCATAAGGAAGTAACAGGCAAAGCTCCCTGGTGCAGTGACTCACCTTCCCTCAGGTCAGCGACGCTACAGCAGGAGGAAATTTTGCCCCATTACAAGGATCTCAGTAAATAATTCATACTGAATCATTTATCTAATTAATCTCAGTTTTTTCAACATGAATACTAACAGGCTCCAAATTCCTCACTTCTTTTTATTTGCACTTACTCACTGAATCATCCTTGTACATGACACTGATGAGTCCACAGCAGGTAGGAGAATTTCCGCCCTGTCCTAAAGGTTATGTTGGTGTCCATCAGGAACACATGTTTGGGGAAGGAAAAATTGTTTTCCACAATTGCTCTGTGCACTGGCTGGAAAAGCAATGCTATCATTTAAAAAAATTTGCCAGTGAACTGATTTACTAAAGCACTCAAAAGGACCGAACACTACAAATTCTGTGAAAAAAAGCAAAACAAAGATCATTTACTACTTCTCCTCCATTGCTTATATTAAAAAATAACTAGGGGAAATAATCCCTTTTGGTTTTTCCTCTCTTAAAATAAATGCAGGGTTTTTGTATGGGTATGAATAATTGAATAACCCAGTGATTTATAGCTATTATATATTTATATGTTCTCTCTCTCTCTTTTTTTTTTTTTTTTTTAAATAAGAGTCTGTAGCTTAACTATTCACTGGATCCCCCTACCATGCTCACGGCTCAGTTTTTACCCAACATACCATGCCTGAACACCACAGCCCATGTTTTGGGGTGCCCTGTCAGTGCTCCCTTTGTTTCCTGCTTGGTCCCTTGAGAGCAGGTTCCCTTCGTTTACCCAGACATCTGCTCATGTTCCTCCCCTTACGCTACTCCCCGTGAGTACTTCACACCTGCAGGAGTTAATGCTTAAAGGCCTGGCTCTGGCTGGCACCATTCTGCCAGCAGGCACAAAAGTCAGAAGCTCGTCCCTGTCCCATCCATGCCCACCTGGTAAGAGACACAGGCAACACGCAGGCAGTCAGGGAAGGACCGTGCACCAACACAAAGGGGCTGGGGCAATCCCCAGCCCTGCAGGAGTGTTTTTCCACACCGGGCATTTACCAAGGTGCTGCCAGAAAGCTGCTGGGTGGCTCGGGCTGGGTAAGCAAAGCGGCTGCGCTCCCCTCCTGCACAAGCATCAGCTCTGGGAAAGTATTTCATGGCCCTTCTGAATAAAAGGTGCACCAAAAACACCAGTGACAGAAACACAGTGCTGTCAGAGAGCTGCTGAACCAGGAGGCAGAGCACAGCCAGCCATTTCTACTGCCCACGAGAGCCTTCCCTGAGATGCTGCTAAATGCTTCTCAAACATTAATGTCACTACCCAAAATTGCGTGGCGTTGAGCACATGGCCACCAGTGTGCATTATCTGTCATTTGCTTATTTCCATCCCATCGTATTTCTGTGCCACGACAGCCCAAGCACTTGGGTTTTGTCCGAGCTGTCCTTTCTCCCTGAATTTTCCTGCAGCCACTGGGGCTGTAAGAGTGAGCTGAAGGATTTCTTCACAAGCATTTTCTGTTCTCTAAAAGCACAGCCCTTCTCCCCCTTCCGTTGCAACAACAATTTGTTGGCTGGAGGAAAACAAAAGGATTAGCAGCTCTCATGCTTCCAATTAAATGCTTTGGCCTTCCCTACCTTGCTTTTTAATCAGTGGCTCAGGGGCCCATTCCTCGTATCCGCTACCAAATTTAATATTAGCTCTTAATGAACCGGTTACTGACAGCCAGGAACGAGAGCTGCACTGCATAGAGGGAATTACTATAGAAACATAATTTGCCTTTCAAATAGCCTGCAAAAATAATGACAACGGCACGCCAGTTTGTTTATTTATGCCGGCTTTACCTATTTGCACTGACTCTTACATAAGCCCCGCCACGTGTCGGAAGGCCTGCTGTTCCCTGAGCGCCCAGGAGACCACCCTGCGAGGGGCACACGGCTTGCTTTAAGCTGCTGACGTGACTGCATTTAGCTCCAGAAGCCTTCTCACCTCCTGCTTACTGACCCAAGAGGTCGGCAACAGCAAATGTCATGTCCAACAGTAAGAAAAAAAACACACAGGCCATGCCAAGCGCGCTCGACGACAACTAACGCTTGTGTTTCTGTCTCAGCCCCAGCAGCCCCCGTGATGGTACATAGCTTCAACCAAGGTTGTCATCAGCACGGAGGAAGGCACGCTGCTGCTCCCCATCGCCTGCTCACACTCACACTCGAGCCCTGCGCTCCTTGGATGAGGAAGAAGAACTCAGGGTTAGAGGAACATCTGTCCCAGAGAAACCTCCACCAGCAATCACAGCTGTGTCCCTCTGGACACTTACTAAATGACAGAGAGTGCAAGGAAGGCAAACCCATCAGGAACAAGCATCCTGTGCTATTTCTTTTTCTCGCTTTCTTCAGGCAGAGAGGAGTTCCAGTGCTACTGCATCAGCCACATCTCACAATGCTTTCTTAATTGGCATTAGCTGACGTTTCAGGAGGTAACGTTTCACTAATTAAAAGAAAATCAGAAGCAACTTATTACAGTCAGCTTACAGTAATAGTACCCTTCAGATTTTGGCAGTAATGAAGATAAAGCAATAATGCACTCACAAATAATTGTTCCCCACAAGTCTGAATCACTTGGAGAGCTGTTAGCCTAAAGCCCAATCAAGGCTCATTAGGACTCTCCAAATAAGTGAGAACAAAAGAGAGACAGACTGCTCATGTCCTCATACACGAGCCCACGTAGTTTGCCCAACCCAGTGAAGTACTTGAGCGAGATGAAAGTTGTGGCAAACATCATCGCTTTAAAGGATTTAAGCCATCTTCAAGACTGGAGGAGGGGAAAAAAAAAAGAAAAGAAAAAAAAAAACTTTTGAATTCTGTTCCTGCTGTGCCCTGCTTCATCTCTCTCCTTTTCCTCCAGCCTCTGCTCCCCGTTCTGCCTTTTACTTCTCCAACACTGATTATTATTTCAGTGCCCTCTTAAGAGAGAAACAGACCAAGGCAGACAAGAAACACCTCGCAAACTGCTCCAGACAAAAGGATGAGGGAGCAGGCAAGGAGGGCACAAACAAGGAGCACAGTAGGGCTGGGTAAGGGTGACAAAACCTCTCCTTGTTCCTCCTTTTCCTTCCCAAGCAGCAGCATATCCAAGGAAGTGTATAGGTGTGCTCTTAGAGGCAGAGCAGCACTGCTGGTGTTGCTAATGGGACAAACCCTTTCAGGGCGCTGCAGAAGCCCAGAGCAAGCAGCGGGCTCATTACGCTGATCATTCCCCGCAGCACAGCGCTGACAATTGAGTGCTGCAGGATACAGCAGTTGTTGGAAGCAAATTAAAAAGGGAAAGTGAATGTCCAGCTTCATCAAGTCAGACCACGGTCATTTACTCCCAGGACCTAACAGAGATGATACTGAGTGGTATCTCTGTACGCCTACAGGAGAACAGAGGACACCTTCCCAACGGATCAAGGGGAAACCCAGCAGGAGGTTGTCCAAGGGCGACCATCCCCTATCCTGCTCCATTTGCCTGCAGGCCACCTTGGGAAGCTGCTCTCCTTTGTCTCTACCTGGTAGATCACTAGAGCATCGGGCTGCTCGATTCCTTGCATCAAGGATGTAGAAAACTAAACACCTGGGCTGTCCTGGAGGGACTGAGTAGAAAAGAAACTCCACATGGACCAAAAAGAGCAAGTCAATAAAAGTACCCCAACACTGAACCTGGTCCTGCTGTTCCAGCTAACAACTCAGGCACTTGTATTTGCAGCCAGCTCTAAAAGAAAAGAAGGCAGGAGAGGTTGGGCTCACCTCGGCAGAAGAGTTGATAGCAGAGAACACTGCAACAGCGTAAGAAATTCGGTGAATCTTTTTGTAATGAAAATCAGGATGAGGCCTGGGGAGTCTTTGAAATCAGGAGGGCTGAGCAAAGAACAAAAGCAGTACTGTGGGCTGAACGTCAGGGACCCAGACTTCAGTCCCAGCTCTGATACAGCCTTCCTATGTGATCATGAACCAAAAAAAAACCTAAAAACCTATCCGGGTCTTCAGACCTTGCCTCCCTCCACACCTCCTTCCCTTCCTTTGCGCCTTGCCCCACAAGCACCCCAGGAGAAATCTCTCTGTTTGCCCAGCATGTGGCCCACATCGTGAGCTCAGGTTGGGTATCTGCACTGGAAATTAACAAAACCAGTGCCTAATGCCAGGATTTTAATAAATATAAGGAAACCAACCTTTCCTTTTCCAAAAGCACAGAGTCCCTCAGCCACCAAGAAAGAGAATTCAAGCGAAGGGGCTCACACGGAGCGGCGGTGCCAGAACAAACGCTGTGATTAAGATTCCCCCAGTCTCGTCTTGGTGAAAATTGATAAAACCATCAGATACACTTGTCAAAACAGATGAAGAATTGCTGCACAAAAATCCACCCCAGTTAATCTGCCAGAGCAAACAAAACTACCTGGAGTCATATCAGATAAAGACAAAGATAAAACACTGTCAACAATAAAAGCAGGAATACAAAATGCTTGGTGGGGGAACAAAAAGCACGCTGGGGTCGGGAAAACACAGGCAGTGAAAAGAGAGCGGTACACAGCCGTACGCTGCTCAGGACCCCCAGCTTGTCCCCTGTCACTCTTCAAAGAAGGTGGCAGGAGAAGTATTTCCATAGCAGGATTCCTCCACTCACGCTTTGATCACTCGACATCAGATCACTGAGATGGGGAAGACAAACAGCAAAAGTTTGAGGCTGCAGCAATCCCAGGGCCGTATTTTCTCCTGGCGAGGGTGGTGATGAGGAAACACCGAGCGCTGAGTCTGTGGGGGCACTTGGGTGGAGCTGAGTGGTACGAGATTCACTGGGAGGGAATACAAGGAGGGTTGGGACTGGTACAAGGCAGTCCCACTGAGCAGCAGGAGCGAGTACAGTGGGAAGGCTGTTGTTTACCACAGTACATGGAAAATCTGTACACAGGTTACATTTCGGCAAGAACACTTGTGACTATGTACAGGAATATTTTAAAGGAGCCACCATTTTCGGCATCACTTTTAATTGCCACTTGCTCAAACGTTTGGGGACGGGAACCCCAGCAGTTACTATTCAAACAAAACCAAATGCAGAACTCACCTCAATCTTACCGACTTCTCCAAAAGCCACTGATGTCAACCCAAATGTTTTACCCCTTGCAAGAAAAACAGGAAATTAAAGGCAGGTTTTTACCAGGTACACCTGGTGCAAAGCACCCTCTCCTCGCAGGGAACAGGACTGTCATTAAGGGAAAGGAAAACTCAAGTGGTTGTACAAGCAGAACAAGTGTGCCCCTATGGAGGCGTGCAGAGGAGGTCAACTTGTACTTCTTGCTGAGAGAGAAACAAATGTGGAAAACTTGGCGAGCTGAGTTCTGTTGTGTTCTTCCTTGCTAAAGGCTATGCTGCACGCTTATCTTGATCTTCTTTGCATGACCTTATGGGGCAGAGGAAAGGCCAACCGATCCATCCGCCTCACTTCTTTTACATCTGTTCACAAACCGCACTTGTGTTTTTAGTGAATCCCCGGGCTGTGTGCACGCTGCCATTCTGGTCAGCAGAGGCAGCACTGGTGCCAAGAGGGGTAGGGATGGGGCGCCAAGCGGTCGAGGAGGAGGAGACCTGCTCCAAACACCAAGCAGCAGCTGGCTCCATCCTAAATCTAACTGCAACACGCTCCTCAAGGGGGAACACGCCTGCTCTTCACTGTCTTACAATACCAACGTTGAACCAAATGGTTTCCCTACTGCTTCTAAAAAGGAAACAGCTTCTAATTAAGAAGCTGCTTAAATAAGTGTTTATTCCTTTCTTAAAGGAGGAAAACTTTCCTAATTAAGACTGATTGTTTTGTGCCTGTGACTCTACACTCCAGGGTAAGCATCTCATACACTGAAAATCCTTGGGATGCCGAGTGCTGAAGCACAGGTTTGAGCTGAAACCTTTCAGTCACCGTAGTGTAAGCAGACAGATGCAAACAGCCGCTTCCTCGCAGCAGAACCCGTTTCCCTTGGAGAAAAAATAAATTCCTTACAGCAATTTGATCTGGAACTAAAATTAGCTACCAAGATGTGTCTTAAATTGGGTATTGTTCCCATGCTAAGCATAGAATAAAGTGCGTACACTCAATTTTACGGCAGGTCAAGCACGGGGACTCATCCAGAATGCCCCACTGCAGAGATTTACTTCCCTCAAGAAATCCTCCTGCTGCCGTAGCGCTGGCACAGCCGTGCCAGGCTCACTCCAGTTATTAGCGATTTGTGCTGGAGTGAAAAGCCCTCCTGCTCCTTTGCTTTTGCAGTTAATCAAATTCACCCCCCAAACAAGTTTTCCAACACCTTAAACACCAAGAGGGAACTTTTCAATTCTTTACAAACTGAAAAGGAACATGGCAACAACTGCTAAATACCGGTCAGCATCCCCTGAGCTCCAGAGGCCACGGCAGGGTTTGTGTCTGCACCTCCCACGTAAAGCTGCCCAGAAACAAAAGCGAAGCCAAGGATTTCCAGTGATCTCATTGAGAAATGAGCTAACTGAGAAATCAGGAGGTGTCAGACACCCCTATAGCTCTTACGGGCCAGATCGGAGAGATTTTGCAGTATATTATGCAGGTATATTAAAAAATCCAGGAAGGAACTCGAGTAAATAATGGGTTTGGTTTTCTTAACCTGACAGTCAGTATCTTCAGGGAAAATACTTTCTATTTAGAGAAAGCTGTGGAAATCTGGGTGCCAAGACAATGACCTACGTTTGGTCTGACCAAGGAGCTGCGTGCGCAAAGACTTTCATGATTCTGTTTGTTCATAAAAAATAACAACCTTTGAGGATTTTTTTTGCCATTTTCTTATTTTACCTTCTACTTGCATAAACGCATTCAAAACCAAAACATAATTTTAGATAAGTATTAAAATAGCAAGCAAGTACAGCTTTCTGTACGGCAACGAGAGCTTTACTGACTTTTTTTAATGGTTATTTCATGAAAGAGCATCTCCGTCAACTCCAGGAGCGAAGAGGTGTGTACGTACAAGGCAAACAAACTTTAAAGTAATACATGAGAAAAAAGGCAGGGTGGGAGAGAAAAGAACGGTTTTACAGCTACTTCTGTCACAAAGAAGAAAGTTGATTATCACTCTTTGATAAGGAAGAAGAAAGCTGTCTCATGCTTCTAAAGCTACGGCAGTGTATAATTTCCCTTCAAGTTCTCTGCCTTTCCTCCCCGAGCTTTTCCAGCACAAGGTTAGCGAGCAGGCAGCGAGCCAGTGCGGCTCCGGCTCTTTTCAAAGCCCGCATTAAGATTTCTTACCTCCTGCAAGCGCCCTAAAGTTCACCATCACCTTCACCAGCGCTGTTTCTTGCCAAAGCAAAGACCAACGCAGGGGCTTGAGCAGCCTGGGAAGGTGCACGGGGCTGCCCTGCTGGGTGCTTTCAAAGCCCCCCCAGCCTAACACGACCACTCACGGTTTCAGAAGGAATTTACCAAAGCACTGCTCCCACTGCCATTTTCACACAGCTGCTCACAGGAAAGGTACGGGTGTGTAACGACTGAAAACTCTGCTTCAATGAGCATAATGGCAGGATCCCTATTTTTATTACTTCAAATCCCTATTTTCTCCTTATTCTACAAGTGATTAGTAAGCGCTGTGCAAAACAAATTCCCCTTCCCCCTGAGACCCAAGCTCCACATAGTCCAGCTGGTTCCGTGAGTGATCTTTTCATGTAAAAACATGCCAAAGCACTGCTTCTGTGCCCCAGCTCCCAGCTTTTTATTTTCCTGGGAACGCCTTGCCAGGTTGACTGCTGCAGCGCAATCTTGGGTAACCTTCTACCCCCACAGCCCTCTATTCCTGGG